AATATAAAAATGGCTAATCTAAGAAAACAAATGAATAAAGTAAACAATAAGATAAGAGATGTAAAATGTACAGAGGTTGGTATGTGCAAAACAGTGGCATTAATGTACAGTATGGAGCGTGTAATGTTGGAACTTGGTGGAGCTTGCGACGAGGCAGCCATACTCGGCGCCATCTTGGCTCATCAATATATGATATAATGGTTTACAAACACAAAAGGGTAATTTATTAGAGTACTCGATTAATCGAAAAAAAGATTCGATAGAGTACTCGATTACAAAAATATTCGATAGCTGCAGTCCTAAACATAATAAATGTGAAATGTTCTTGCAGCATCATAACTATTGTTTTTACCCGTCCTTAAAGCCAACGAGAACGTGGCCTCATCGTCCACTTCAAGCCTGGCAGCAAACCAGGGATTCAGTCGAGCACAAACTTTGTTTTTAATCCACCAGATGAGGGAACACCTGGAAAAGGATGGCGACGGTTGCCCCAAAACTCTGAAAGAGCTGAACATGAGGCAGAAAAATAGTAAAGGCAACAAAAAAAACCTGTGGAAACCTGTTGCAGAAAAGTTGTCCTTGGATTTTGTAGGGAGCTTTCACCCAGACAAAGTAGCTAGGAAATGGAACACTTTGGTGGACGCCTACAAGAAAGTAAAAGACAGCAATAAGAGTACAGGGAAAGGAGCTGTGCCATTTCAGTTTGTTGAAGAGATGGAGCAGCTGTTAGGGTATGGCGCGGTATGGGGGCCAAAATTAAGACTACTTCCCAGCAGCAGGAGGCTATATAAATTCTGAAGCAAACTTCTGATCTGATTAATGATAAGCTGGCGCTGGTAACTGAGAGGCTGGTGCTGCTTACTGAGAAATAGCACCTTTACCAGCGTTATTACTAGATACGCTAGGGACTAGCAGCCCTCGGCTGGTCATTGACTGGTTCAAACACTCCCTCTGCTGTCTATTAGCATAGATAGGCTAGCGTTAGCCTGGACGGGCTGGTGTTAGCATTGGAGAGGCTACCCATTAATGTGCCTAGGCTGGCCACTAGCTGAATTTCCTACCTTCTCGACGGACCATTAGCATGGATAGGCTGGCGTTAGCATCGGAGAGGCTAGCAATTAGCGTGCCTAGGCTTGCCACTAGCTGGTTTCCTACCCCCTCGACGGACCTTTAGCATGGATAGGCTGGCGTTAGGTTAAAGTTGCTATTTCTCAGTAAGCAGCGCCAGCCTCTCAGTTACCGGCACCAGTTTATCATTAATCAGGTCGGTAGTTTGCTTCAGAATTTATATAGCCTCCTGCCGCTGGGCAGAAGTCTTAACTTTGGCCCCCATACCGTGCCATATAGGGGGCCAACATGACGTTGTCTTTCCAGTAATTGGAAATAAGACATAAGAATAAGACAGCAATAAGAAATAGTTCTTTGAATCTGTTTCTTTAGCTTTACAAGGTAGTTTGTGCAATATTTTCATAAATCCTTACTCTTTGTGTGCAATATTTTCATTAAAGGTGACTAAATGTGTTCTGTCTTACAGTAAAGATTGTAGACTTTTTAAACTGTTTGTTTACCTTTCTTTATTTTATTAAATGTTTTGCTTCTAATATTGTGTCCAAGTCTGTCCTACATTACCAATGACAACAGCTTCATCTTTATTAAGTGTAGTTACCTTATTAAAGGAAAGAAACCATCTTTTATAAAGCGCCTCTCAAGATAAAATCACAAGGTGCTTCACAAAACCAAAACATTTAAATATAAAAATATTTTCATAAAGTGGTAAAAAACATGTTTGAAATGAGAAGAAAATAGTAAATTGTGAGTTAAAATGTAAAGAGAGAGAGAGAGAGAGAGAGAGGGAGAGAGTAAAACCCCAGAATAAATACTTGAGTGTGAAGCAGGGAAAACACTTTAATAAAATAAAGCCACTGAAATACAGGCACACTGCAATTAACAACATATTTCAATATCTGACAAGAACAAGAAGAGATGCTAAATACTTGTAAAAGCAGAACAAGCGTCTTGCAACTTGGACAGCACTGCTAGTTGTCATCATCCTCTCTTGGGCAGCCCTGGGGGTGCAGCTGGCACAAGTCAGCAATAGTCATGTTGTGCAACAAACAGGCTGCCATTATTATCATCACCACAGTTTTGATGTTGGTGTTCTGAAGATCACGGAGACGCCTCCACATGCACTTTATTCGTCCAAAAGCTTGTTCAACAACCACCCTACCACGACTGATCTTGTTGTTCTGAAGTTGTTCCTCACAAGTCAGGGCTCCGTTGTCGCGTCGAGGGGTTACAACAAATGGAAAATCTCGCCCGATGTACGCACTGTCTCCAAGTAAGCTGTAAGCAGCCATTTTCTCCTGTCATGGTTCAAAGAAGGGAGAAGTCCTCAGCATCCTTGCATCATGCTCCCTTCCAGGTGGTCCAGCACAAATGTCCAAGAATCTCCCTCTGTCATCTACAATCCCCTGGAGAAGGACAGAGAAGAAAGACTTTCTGTTCATGTAGTCTACACCTCGCACGGGTAGCTTCTGCACCCTTATATGACACCCATCGATGGCACCAGTGACACCAGGGATGCCACAGAGTCGCTGAAGAGCAAGAGCAGATGTTGCTTTCTCACAGGCATTTGGCCAGAAGGCAAAGTTTGAGCCAAGTGTGCAAAGTATTTGAAGCTCATCCACAATGATTTGGTGTGCCGCAGACTGGGACACATCCAATTTGTCAGACATCTCTCTAAAGCTGTTTTGGTTCGCCATGGACCACAGAAGCATCAGCACCTTCTTTGTCACAGGAACTGGTGGCAGGCCTTGATGGTGCTCCCTGCCTACTCCATTCTCCTGCAGCTTCATTGTCAGGTATTCAGACTGTGGCCTGGTGACCCTAAAATGGCGAGCAAAGGTGTGCTCATCCATGTGCAGCAAGACCTCCCACTCTGTTCCAGTCTTCAGGATAAGCCTCTTCGTTCTCTGCAGCAGGAGATGACAGCACATCCTAAGAAGAAGAAGAAACCAGTTTTTTATTGTGCCTTTCAAGATAAAAACCACAAAGCACTTCACAGTAAGAAGAGAAAATAATAGTTTTAACTTCAATTAAATCATCACTAAATCATTATCTTATTACTCCTAAATACACATAAATAAACAATTACAAATCCGACAACATGTTTGTCTCTTTTTTGTTTGCGTCTCACATTACAACAATATGATTTCTATCCCTTTAAAAAAAGATTGGAGAATGGCACAACACACAATGAAGGTTGAAAATCCTGACCAAAGACTCAACCAACAGCAATATGCTGAAAGAGGAACACCTACCTTCTTCGTCTTCGACTCTCTTCCAATATTCTTTGAAGACGAGCTTTATGTGTGTTCATGAGTCGTCTGTGTTCGTTGAGAGCTAACAAAACAGCAGTTTTCGAGGGCGTCGCCATATTGAAATCCGGACTTCTCCATCTCCGGCAACCAGAACGCTGTTAACTCGGGTGTGACGTCATTCCCAATTCCGACTTCTGAGGAAAATCGAACACACCCTGAGAGTCGGCAACTGGAGTCTGCTCCAGACACCGCAGCAGGGCTGTAGCAAGCAGCTGTAGCATGTAATTCACAAATGTTTCCATATTTCACTACAGCTTAGACTGGATTATGTTGCCAACCTGTACATAATACAATAGATAAGCCACCATTACATTGTTACTGGTAGTTATTACATGTTGTTATAATTTCCAGAAGCTTGCTGCTGAACACGTGACTGAAATACATAAATTGTACTGATTATATGTGACTTTAGACATGTTTAGACTAGGATGAGTGATGGTAAACCTTCACTAAACGTCATGAGTGATGAAGGAAGCCATAGAGATAAGGAGACGTGGATGTGGGACCATGAACAGAGACGATGGGGTCTACACATTGGATCGTGCATGGGACTGTGTCATCAGTGAGGGGAGAGCGGGCAGCAGAGGGCGACAACGTCCTCTGCTGCCCGCGGATAAATGGAGTAGGAAGTGACGCCACCATCAGATGGGCCATTCCCATCAGTACCGGGTCGGCCCGGGCCGGGTAGCGTAGGTTGTTTACATATCTGGGTGGCCTGGTATTTTTCCGGGCCAACCAAGGCTCATTCTCAGCCCTCTTCTCGAGGGGGTCTGCTTCAGGCCGACCAGGGCCAACACACCCACTGCTGACAGCAAATTCACACCTTCCATTAGAGCAAGCCTCTGATTGGTGGGTAAAATTAGCCCACATGGGCTTAAGACAAGGATGTGTGGAATCAACCGGGCCAGGCTGGGGCTGACTGGGGCTACCCGGCCCGGGCCGACCCAGTACTGATGGGAATGGCCCAACAGTCAGCTCTGAGGAAGTTTACAGCCGCTAACGAAACTGTCAGCAAGGTAAAAAAAAAACTTTTCTGTGTTTTAAAAAAGAACCAAAAATGCAACTTCATACTAGAACAAGTCACTTTAATGTTAACCCTCTCAGGCTCAAAATAAGTTTTGATAAAAGGACGAACAACTAAGTCCTTCAGGGGAAATTCTGAGTTCAAAAATGATCATGAAGTACGTATGTGGAGTAACCAGGTAGGTAGGTTTTTACGTTGCTAATCTGCAACGCCTGCCTCCAGAGGGTTAAACAAATTATTAAATCTGAAATCAGCTTTAGTTTTCAGTTTGTTCTCAATGTGCATGGCATAATGGATGGTGGCCCTCGGTAGTTTGGAAACTCTGGATACGGTCCTGCTACTGTCTCTCATAGAAGCGCATGCGAAGCACCGCAGCTAGAGAGGAAGAAGCCTGTGGCTTTTCAAAATAAGGTAAAAATTTAACGTTTCATGATATTTAAATTATTTCAAACTACGATTATGGTTGGCATAAGTGCGTAAATATAGTCTATATGTGTTTCACGCCTTACGTCGTTGTACAGTAGTGTAACGGGTTGCGATGTGTTGTGGTTGGACTTTTATGTTGAAGGGCTGTTCTTGGCCGGCTGTGTGCAGAGTTCCGGTTCGGTTGTTAGGAAGAAAATGAGCTAGTGTGATCGGAGATCGTTAACGGTGTTTCTGCTGGAGTTAAGACGTTGGCTGCGGCCAACAGTAACCCGGAATAAAGATCCGAAACGGAAACAACAAGTTGGAATCATTACCATCTCTTAGAAAAGGCAACAAAAGTGTGTTTTATAGGTGTGGTGGCTTTTGTTGAGCCGTGGCGGTGCGACACGAACTAGTTTAGCCCAGCAGAAAGGCCCCGCGGCTGGCTGGACCCAGCTCGACACAGCAGCAGAGCGGTAAGCTTCATATCACTCTAAAATGTCGGCTAACTTTACTGTACACGTTCATTTACGGGCATTAGCAGCGTGCTAGCATTAGCATCCGGCCTGCTAACGCTAGCACAACATGCTAGTAAAGTTAGCACCCAGATTAATGTGGATTCGGACGATTTTCGTGGAATAAAACGTGATCTGGGAATTGTGATGAACGCCTTTTTACACCAGATGATAACCTTCCACTGACTGTAGCAGCTGAGCGCCTGTGTGTGTTGCTCCGTGAGTGTGATGTGATGTTAGCATCCAGTAAATAAATCCCACATCAGCTAAAGAGCAGCGCGACTAAGTGGTTAAAGTGCGTCAGCACAGCGGATTTAATACGAGTTTTAAAGAACAATCTCTGAGTGAAGTGAGGCTAGTTTTTGTCTCTCTGCAGATATAAAAACCAGCTCTGCATCAGTCACACGCAGCTAAGCTCACTGTGGGGCAGGGCCGGATTATCATTGCAGGGGCCCCTGGGCACACTGTGCTTAGCCCCCCAACATTACCCATAGATGTGTGTGTGAGTAGCTAAAATATGACACCTTCATGTGAATAAGATGGAATAAGTCTAAATGTATAAAATAGTATGTTAATAAATAACAGAAAAGTAAATAATAATAATACTAATAGTAATAAAGACCCAACAGTGTTTGTGGTTGTATTATTTGACTCATAAATTATGATATTGTAGAACACTTTCTCCTGGTCAGACCGCTTTGCTTTTGTGCTTCAGTATGGTGGGGGGATGTACCCATGGCGCTGGAATTTCAGCCTTAAGCCTGGTTTATGCTTCTCCGTCAGCTCCGCAAGGGACAGACACACACGGATTGACGGAAGTGTTTTGCTCTTTTACTTCTCCGTCTCCTGGAGAGTGTTGCAAAGCAATTGCCCGCCAGGACAACAGAGGGCGTAGCGCTGTTCTGTGGTATCCTGTCATGTATCGGTCCAGGATTGTGTGTTTATCTTGTGTTTTTTGTGTATATAAGAGACTTTTAACACGGACATATTTGTCTCTCATTCTCCCACCGCTTCATGCGCTCGCCACCTCTAAACCCACGTTTCCTGTCATTTCCGTCCACAAATAAAATGCTTGCTGCGCATCTTTTCACTCCTCCAGTCATGGGAGTATGAGACGTTCATATTTTTAGAGTTTTGTCGCGAGGTATTCTTCAAGTTTCTCCGTGTCTGCCGCTAGTTAAACTCGGCTCTCTTTGCAATGGCGCCGCTGTAAACAACAGCGGCGTCCTGACCAATCACAAGCTTGCGTAATCCGTCTCGTTCGACGGATGTTTAAAAAAGTGGGCTCGACTCCGTATGTACTTGTGTGCCTGCCGGAGCCCTACGCACGGACGGATATTGGCGTTGCGTGTCTCTGCACTGACGCAGACGGAGAAGCATAAATCAGGCTTTAGTGTAACGTAGCAGCTGAGCCTGTGTAAGGCAACACTGTAACTCTGGAGGAAAAAGAGGTTAGCTCTACTCCGTGATCTCTGGTGAGCAAAGGTCCTCTTTTCCAGACTGGATCTGTCCTCAGCTGATCAGAACCAAAGCGTTGGATCTTTAATCTCCTGCGTTGTTCTGAAGCAGCATCTTAATCAGCTCTCCTGCTTTGTTTCTATTGCAGCTGTTAGCTAAACACGGCTAATGAAAACCTGCTACCACTTCAGGATCATCCATCAGCTGGGACTGCTTCATCAGCATGGACACAGGTACTGAATGAATGACTTTATTGCCTCTGTGTGGTGGGACACAACAGTGTACCTCATCTATGAGATGGAATCTAAAATAATGGCTTGTATTTTAATAAAGCCTTTAGGGTTGTCAAGGTGTGAAAATTTAACCTCACGGTTATTGTGACCAAAATTATCACGGTTTTCGGTATTATCGCTGTATTTTTTTAAACGTGTTACGTTTTCAGACAACTAAATAAACCCTGTATATCAGGAAAATGTTGTCCTCTGTTTGTGTCTAAATTTTGCCTAAAATGTGTTTTTTTGTAATTATGTTGTTTATTTGTTTACATTTTTCCCCTTTAGTCTTTAAAATACCAATATTTGCCCATAACTTCTTATTTTATGTTTGTTTGATGTCATCATTTTACAAATATTAGATCAGATGACACTCAGTACTCAAGTAGCCTTCTAATCAGATACTTTATCCTTACTTGAGTAATAAACCCTATATCAGGAAAATGTTGTCCTCGGTTTGTGTCCTTCCAGTGAAATTTGCAGATGTGGGAAAATGTCATCAGGCAGTAATCGTTGCTAAATTCATAATTATTCTCGGAGAGAGACCAACTCTTATCTGCCCCTGGGAGCCCCGTAATGCATAGCGTCATTTCAACATGGGGGTGTCCGCGACACGGTTCATATGCAGGTAGCGGCGCTGCGGATGCTTTATATAGCGACTCGTTGCATTCTCCCTCAACCCAAATCCTCGGATCACGCATTTTAGCTAAAACGCTAACATGAGCTTGCCTTGCGTTGACTGTAGAGTTGTGGGTGATGGTCACGCAGATGTGTCATGAGATTTGAAACGTTGCTGCCTTTCACAGACTCTTTTCTGCATGTGCTGCAAACAGGATAGCCGTCTTCTATCAACTGTCCCTCGGCATTCTTCATATATCCAAAAGATGCCCGTACTTCCCACTTTGTCTTCTTTGAGGGATAATAAATGTCCTGAGCGCTGCCGTCTCCTCCTTTGACCATTATTTCAGCTTTAGCTTCAAGAAAGTTTTGGTTGTAAACAACAAAGTGCGCATGTGCAGCCGGCAACTTCAGCAGATTCAATTTCAATTCAATTCAAGTTTATTTATAAAGCGCCAAATCACGACAAGTGTCGTCTCAAAGCACTTCACATAATAAAAATTCCAATTCAGATCAGTTCATTAAGCCAATCAGAAATGATTCCTATATAAGGAACCCAGCAAATTGCATCAAGTCACTGACTAGTGTCAGCAATCCTCATACTAAGCAAGCATAAAGCGACAGTGGAGAGGAAAACTCCCTTTTAACAGGAAGAAACCTCCAGAGAATCCTGGCTCAGTATAAGCAGCCATCCTCCACGACTCACTGGGGATCGAGAAGACAGAACACACACACACACACACACACACACACACACACACACACACACACACACACACACACACACACACACACACACACACACACACACACACACACACACACACACACACACACACACACACACACACACACACACACACACACACACACACACACACATACACACACACACACACACACACACACACACACACACACACACACGGACAAGTGATGTGTCTACAGTTCTATTATGATGTCTTAGTAAATATTCTATTTGGTGAAAGATAAACTTTATAGTATTTATCCTAGTGGATCTATAATTAAACGGGTAAACTAGTAGTAGCACATCAAAAGTCAAGGAAAGCAAAAAGTTATTATCAGGAGAGGGAGAATGTTTTAGTGGTTAGCAGCAGTGTGCTAGACGATGGCCCCCTCCATGAGGCCACCACAGCTCAGCAGAACATCGTCGTAACTTCTTCTGGGGAGAAAAACACTTACAGAGAAAATAAAGTTAACAGCTGAAATAGCAGAAAATAGAATAGTTAAAGAGCAGATTGTAGAATAAAGCAGTAGAGTGTGAGAAGTGGTCAGTGTGTCCTCCAGCAGTCTAAGCCTATAGCAGCATAACTACAGAGATAACTCTGGATAATCTATCCTATTTAGATGTAGGCATGTTGGAGGCAGGGCAAGGGAGAGCCGTCTTTACCGACTGTACACTCCACCTCCCTCTACTCCCCCACTTGTCCAGATCTGGGCTAACATCAGATTTTAACCACAGGCCCTATCAAAAATGTTTTAAGCCTAGTCTTAAAAGTAGACAAGGTGTCTGCCTCACGGACTAAAGCTGGGAGCTGGTTCCACAGGAGAGGAGCCTGATAACTAAAAGATCTGCCTCCCATCCTAATTTTAGATATTCTGGGAACCACCAGTAGACCTGCAGTCTGAGAGCAAAGTGCTCGGTTTGGAATGTATGGAACAATCAGATCACTGATGTATGATGGACCTTGATTATTAAGAGCTTTATACAGTTGTGGTCAGAAGTTTACATACACTTGTAAAAAATATAATATAATGGCTCTACTGAGTGTCCCGTTATTTCTAAAACTCTGATTTTTCTCTGATAGAGTGATTGGAACAGATCCTTCTTTGTCACAAAAAACATTCATGAAGTTTGGTTCTTTAATGTCTTTATTATGGGTTAACAGAGAAAAGTGATCACATTTAGGGCTGAAACGATTCCTCGAGTACCTCGAATAATTCGAGTACAAAAAATCCTCTGCCTCGAGGATTCGTTTAATTCATATTTAATTAATTCATGGCTTTGCAAACGCACGGGGTCATGTTTCACCCGGACCGAAATAAGTGACGCACATGCCCACTGGACTGCGAGTAGCGAATATAACTTAACTTTCTCTTAAGCCATGGCGGACAACTTGAACCCCGGTGGAGTGCGAAAAAGACAGAAAATGTCAAAGGTGTGGGACCATTTTTCACGTCATAAGGTGGAAAACGTAGTCCAGTATAAATACTGTAAAATGGATTTAGCCTACCACAACACCACATCCTCCGTGCTGCAGCACCTGTAAATGTCACTTCTGCAAGCGGACTCGGAGCCTCTATAAGATAATGCATTTTAGCCTGTTTTTCTATATATTCTGCAGACACTGCGACTTTTTCGTTTGTAGCACTCAGTTTCAGCTCACACCGTACGTCTGCTAGCAACACGTCGGACTTAAAATGTGCTAAAAAATAGCAGTTTTTACACAACACGTCGGACTTTTTATTGTGTTATTGATATTTGTTGTCCCTCTGGGTTTCTGCAGGAGGACACGGGTATTTATGAGTGGCGGAGGAAAACGAAAGAAAGTAAATAAATGTTTTGTGATCAGAATAATTTGACTAAACCACGGCAAACATGCTTTTGGCAATCCTTGTTGTGTGAGAAAAAAAAGTGTAGAAATTAAAACGGACGTGTGTTAACAGGGAAACAGGGGCGAGCTGTTTGTGCCGTGAGCGGTTCTGGTTCTGTTTGGGCCGCAGCCGCTCGCAGCGTTATCCTCTTAGTTTTTGTCTGGCTTGCAGGCTAGCAGATTCTCGCACGAGGGGAAAATCGGCTCAGGTTGTATGCTTTTTTTTTTACACAGACATTTGTTTACTGTGAAGTAAAGTTGAAGTGCTGAAGTTTTGCAAACTTAATTTTGAATAAAACTTGAAGAATAACTGGCAATTGCTTGCTCATTTTGAGAGGTCTTTCATAATTATAACATGCTATTTGATATAATGGTTTACAAACACAAAAGGGTAATTTATTAGAGTACTCGATTAATCGAAAAAAAGATTCGATAGAGTAATCGATTACAAAAATATTCGATAGCTGCAGCCCTAATCACATTTGCTGGGTCACAAATATACATACAGCAACATGAACTAGCAATTTTGGTGACTTAGAAACGTGTCAGTGAACTGAGCTTCATAGCGTGGCCTCTTAACTTCTTGTGAGTGATTATGAGTGACTACAGCTGGTGACTTCTCTTAGGCCAGGTAAATAGGGCTCATTGGATACAAACGCCCACAAACGCTACAATGGGAAAGTCAAAGGAGCTCAGCATGGATCTGAAAAAGCGAATTATTGACTTGAACAAGTCAGGAAAGTCACTTGGGGCCATTTCAAAGCAGCTGCAGGTCCCAAGAGCAACAGTGCAAACAATTGTTTGTAAGTATATGGTGCATGGCACTGTTTCATCACTGCCAAGATCAGGAAGAAAACGCAAGCTATCACCTGCTGCTGAGAGAAAATTGGTCAGGAGGGTAAAGAGTGAACCAAGAATCACCAAAAAGCAGATCTGCCAAGAATTAGAAGCTGCTGGAACACAGGTGTCATTGTCCACAGTCAAACGTGTTTTGCATCTCCATGGACTGAGAGGTTGCCGTGCAAGAAGGAAGCCCTTGCTCCAAAAGCGGCACCTTAAGGCTTGACTGAAGTTTGCTGCTGATCACATGGACAAAGATAAGACCTTCTGGAGGAAAGTTCTGTGGTCAGACGAAACAAAATCGAGCTTTTTGGCCACAATGCCCAGCAATATGTTTGGAGGAGAAAAGGTGAGGCCTTTAACCCCAAGAACACCATGCCTACAGTCAAGCATGGTGGTGGGAATATTATGCTGTGGGGCTGTTTTGCTGCCAATGGAACCGGTGCTTTACAGAGAGTAAATGGGATAATGAAGAAGGAGGATTACCTTCACATTCTTCAACATAACCTAAAATCATCAGCACGAAGGTTGGGTCTTGGGTGCAGTTGGGTGTTCCAACAGGACAATGACCCCAAACACACATCAAAAGTGGTAAAGGAATGGCTAAATCAGGCTAGAATAAGGGTTTTAGAATGGCCTTCCCAAAGTCCTGACTTAAACCCCATTGAAAACATGTGGACAGTGCTGAAGAAACAAGTCCATGTCAGAAAGCCATCAAATTTAACTGAACTTCACCAATTCTGTCAAGAGGAGTGGTCAAAGATTCAACCAGAAGCTTGCCAGAAGCTTGTGGATGGCTACCAAAAGCGCCTAATTGAAGTGAAAATGGCTAAGGGACATGTAACCAAATATTAGCACTGCTGTATGTATATTTGTGACCCAGCAAATGTGATCACTTTTCTCTGTTAACCCATAATAAAGACATTAAAGAACCAAACTTCATGAATGTTTTTTGTGACAAAGAAGGATCTGTTCCAATCACTCTATCAGAGAAAAATCAAAGTTTTAGAAATAACGGGACACTCAGTAGAGCCATTATATTATATTTTTTACAAGTGTATGTAAACTTCTGACCACAACTGTATGTGAGAAGGAGGATCTTAAAATCTATTCTGAATTTAACAGGTAGCTAATGTCGGGAAGCTAAGACAGGAGAGATATGATCTCTCTTTTTAATTCTCATCAGAACTCTAGCTGCAGCATTTTGGACAAGCTGAAGACTTTTAACTACATTCTGTGGACTTCCTGAGAGTAATGAATTACAGTAATCCAGTCTTGATGTAATAAATGCATGAACTAGTTTTTCAGCATCACTTCTGGAAAGGATGCTTCTAATCTTAGCAATATTCCGAAGGTGGAAAAAGGAAATCCTACAAACCTGTTTAACCTGGGATTTGAATGACATGTCCTGGTCAAAGTTAACACTGTAGTGATCTGTAGTTTGTATATTTATACACAATAATTAGATCTAAATATTATAATCAGAAGTGGTCGTTTTTATCATCAGGGAGTTTACTTAAACACTCTTTATTGACTGAGAGACAAGAAAAGAGAGAGTTGGGATCGTTTAAGAAACTTTAATTTCTATAAATATAAATTCTTACAATCTACCAGGACTATCTCTGTGATGGATGCATATGGATTTGGATGTTTCGTGTTGGTGTGTGTGTGTGTTTCAGAATCTCTAGGCTGACGTAGCGAATCTGGTTGTTATGACTAGGCTACCACGAGGCTTCAGAAGCTGATGACATGAGCAGCCATTTTGTGCCGTGACTACGTACCCATGGAGTCTCCCGTGTTAGATCAGGAAATGCCAGATCCTCGGACCTTCAGATGTACTGGAGCTGGTAGAACAGCGGTCACAGCACTACAAAGCCCGTCTGCGGATCGACTCCCAGTAGTAGCGGCAGGCGTCAGCGAGTTCTGCTCGTATTTTGAAGGGACGTCGTCTTGTTGTTCAAACGACGGAGATCTCCAGCTTGACAGTTCTCAGCTTAAAGTAGAAAGTGCATCTGGCCAGGCTGCACCTCTCTTTTGCGGTGATGGATCGAGAGCTGGTGGAAAACTACGTTGAGAGTATGATGTAATTCCTTTGGAACACAGATCGAACAGAGCTAAGGTTAAAATGGAACTGAGTATAAAATGGCGTTGCCTTGCTTTTTATCTCCTAGTTGTTTACAAATCTTAGTAAACCGGATTGGACAACTTCATTAAAGGCACAGTCTGCAATATTTAAATGTAGAATAACTTTAAAAATGTTTTATTTTGACCATCTGACCCAATTTTATTAAAAAAAGTAAATAATCTTTAATATTTCAATTTTCTCCTAAGTCCCTCCCCTGCCCTGTAGAGCTCAGCCAATATTTCTGCAAGCCTAACGCGTTGACCAATAGCGCTGCGTTTCCACCAGGGGGCAGCTGTCAATCATCGAGCACGAGCAGCAGGTCTCAGCGTGCACAACAGTGTCACGCGCCTCACTCGGCTTACTGCAGAAACATGGAGCAAAATTACCGATTCCTCGACTGCCTTCCACATCTCAAAAAACATTTAAAAAGTTTAAAAGCCCTTCTTCAAAAGTGGCTGTGAGACATTTAAGACAGTCGAGTAGAATTTACATTGGAGATTGTTTTAAACGATGGAGAGATTTTCGTGATCTACACGGCCTGAAAACGGATGAAGAGTTGGCAAAGTATCTTTTGGACAGGTAAGTTATTTATTGTTTTTCGGATACATTTACTTCAAATCTTTCTTTCACTGAAAGAAGTAATTGAGCAAACCAGCTTTGTATGCTTGGTGTCCTATTGGCTAATGTAGCATTAGCTTGAATGCTAAGTCGACATGAATCGATGCTAGTCAAACTAGTTATGCTATTTTTGGAAGAAGTTTGAGTAACGAAAGGGAATTTTAGTTTTTTTTATATGGGAGCTAATGATTAGTGTGGCGTTAAACTATAGGCCATATCAGTGTATTGTTTTAAGCTCTTGTTTATAACTTCCCTGTTAGCGGGGTTCAGTTAGCATCTTGAATGCTGAATTAGATGTTTACACTTTCCTGAGCTGCGTGTTTGATTAAAATGAGTAATCAGCAGCTCATGTAGTACTTGTAGAAGTCTGAGGAGATGATTCAGCAGTTAGAATTAGGTGTGATTGATCAGACACGTATCCAAAACCTTACGTTTCCATTAGCACTGAAAGACATATTGTGTTAACCTGGGTGGGCCACGTGTACAGATTACTGTCTGAGTTTGTGGTCTTACCTACGTGAAAACTCCATATTAAAGTAAAAGGAATGATAATCAGCTCGTGCAAAAATCTGTGAAGGCTGGGGAGACTTGTTTAGCTTGTGATCACTAATTTTTGGGCTTTTTTACAGTCATCAGTCCAAATATGAAGCATCAACATCTACACCATTGAAGCGCCAACTGTTTATTTCTCCAACACCAGTGCCAGCTCTGTCTAGCATTCGTGGAGAGTCATCTGAAAGGTAAATAGCTGCCTATAAACCTCAACCAGGAATATTATAATTTTGCCTCTGTTTGTTTTAAGTTAGTGGTGGATTATTTTGAAAAAATTCTAGAAATGGGATAATGAATGACTATAAAAAATGTATAGAAATAAATAGTAAAACTACATTTTATATAGCGCCTCTCAAGATAAAACTCTTGAGGCACTTCACAACAACAAAATTAAACATATTTAAAAAAAATTATATTTTTATTTCAAAGTTTATGAGAAAAAAATAACACAATTGTGTTTTTAAAATGTAAAGAGAGAGACAGGAAATTATTTGTAAAGAAGGAATTAAGTGGATCCACAGAGAAATGCGTAATAAGTAGAGGGAGAAAAATGAGGAGAGGGTGATGATGACGGCCAATAGACGAGCTCTATTACCTTCAAAATGACAAAATATGTATTGATTCTAATCATATTCTTGTGCTTGTATTTTATTTTCATAGGGATGATAATTTGGAGGAGGCGATGGAACAAGGTGAAACTAAAAAAGAAGGATCTTCACAAATGTAAATACAAGGTTGTATCGGTATTTGGCTGTCACATTTTTTAGCAAAAGTAAACAATAATTACTTTTTTAGGTTATCTTGTGTGGGAATTGAAGCAAACATTGATGAGGAAGAGTTCAACAATATTCAAAACTCTGTAAGTATTCAGATGTTAATAAAATGTGTCTAATTTTCCATACTAAAAACTTTATATTGTGTATATTCAGGATAGAGTCATCAGGTGACGCATGGTCACCAAACAGAGAAACAGAAGTTGATTCGTCTTCAGAGGAGGACAAAACCATCGAGATGGACAGCGGTACTGATGACAGCGGTGATGAGGACTACACACCTTATATACACATAAGGTAATTCCTTTTGTTTAACATTCTATAAAACTGCAATAGCGCATAGTTAATAAAAAGCTTTTGTTCACAGGACTGGAGCGGCATTACAAAAAACATTACAACTTGAGACTCTGCAAGAAATTAACATTGAGGATACAGTTCATGACTGTAATATCCCAGAAGCAACTGATGCAACACCTGTACCAGATAAAGTAGTGGTCAACATTCCTGGAGACATAATTGGTCAACCGGTTTCCATGGTGTACCACAAGTGTATGCAGCAGCTTGCAGAGTTCCTTCTCTTGCCAGTCCAAGTATGTACGGAGAAAGACCCACAAACATCTGAGGAATGTGGTGCCTCTGCACCATTCATTATCAACATTTCTTCACGAGGAACAGCTATGATTGTCAAATGGGTATGTTCTTGTACATAACAATCCTTCAACCTAAACCTTCCAAGATATTTGCTAATATTTCTGTCTTTTACAGTGTTGTCCCAAGAGCCATGTTGTTTGGCAGTGGAATTCTCAGCCAACGTTCAAATTTGGGATGCAAGCTGGAGATTTTATGCTCTCTTCAAATATACTCCTGTCAGGCAACAATTTTGCAAAAATTGCCCTCATGTTTAAATACATGAATATGGGCATGGTGACCCGCAACACTTTTTTTTCAGTCCAAAATGCATATTGTGTGGACACCATAAAAGAATACTGGACTGAAAAAAGGACAGATATTATTTCTGAGGTGAAAGAAAGAGGACATGTTGTTGCACTAGGTCTGTTGGTATTTTTATCTATGTAATAAATGTTATGCAATATTTTAAACAACAAATAGTTATGCCTAAAATCTGCTCCAACAGGTGATGGGAGAATGGATAGTCCTGGCTTCTGCGCACAGTACTGTACATACACTTTGATGGACAATGACACCAGAAAAATACTCTCCATTGAAATCATCGATAAAGCCGGGCGTACACTGTGCGACTTTTTCACTTTTTTGAGCCGATTTTCCAGTCGTGCGAGAAGCCACGACATCGGGGCGAGTTTTGCGCCGAGCGGTCGTGTAGTGTACAGGGGGTTACGAGAGGCGATTAACACCACGTGACCAGCCGCCGATCAGCAGTCGTGAGGTCGCAGGGACTTCTGGTGTGTTTAATATTTCGCTCGTCCCTCGTGAGGGTATCGCACTGTTGAAGCGGCGCTGCGAGCAGCTGCGAGCAGCTACGATCCAAAAAGTATCAGAACCACTCACGGCGCATGCGCGCGCAATCCTGCATCAACGCCGGCCGGTCGCTCGCTATTTCCCTAATAACACACGCTGTTCGTTTTTGTTTCTACACGTTTTTTTACTCACAAAGATTGTCAAGAAAGCGTGTTTGTCGTGTTCATGTCAAATTAAACTGATCATAAAACACAGATTCACTTTCTTTATTTCGTTTTCCTCATCCAACCCCCATAAATCCCTGTGTGTCCTCCTGCAGCACTCCCGAAGGACAACAGGCAAGACAAAAAAGTCTGACGTGTTGTGTAAAAACTGCTATTTTTAGCACATTTTGGGGCCGACGTGTTGCTACCAGACGTACAGTGTGAGCAGTCAGGTCGCATGCGAGAATTGGGTCGTACAGTGTGAGCACACGACTCGTGAGATCTGCTCTGCGAGGAAGTCGTACAGTTTGAGCTGAAGCTGAACGCTGCGAGTGAAAAAGTCGCACAGTGTACGCCCGGCTTAAGAGAGAAACTCAGAGGAGTTCTACAATAATGGAGAGGGAGGCTTTCATCAGAAGTGTTGACAAGGTTAGCCAAGAAGTGAAACTATCAGAAGTTTGCACTGATGCCCATTCACAAATATCTGCTCTTTTCCGTAAGTATAACACAGTTTTGCACATAACACACATCTTTAACCATTATTAGTATTGCCTTACAGTTCATTTTATCTGTGTCAGGAAAAGGAAAGTACAAAGACAGTGGAATTGAGCACACCTATGACATGTGGCATGGTGCAAAGAACCTGAGCAAAAAAATACATGCGATACGTGGCAATTATAATATATAATAACTATAACGATGCTTTTGATGGACTTTATATATATTTTTTAACAGGCAGGTAAGCAAAGGGGATGTTCCATTTTATTACAGTGGAACAAAGATATCTGTAACCATTTTTGGTTTTGCTGCAAGTCGCGAACACTTATGATGAGTTTTTTGTAAGTACATTATTTGTATTTTCATATAAAAAAAGTGAATGTAACTAATCGCCACATGTCTTTTAGGACATGTGGATCGGTCTACTCCACCATGTGACTGGAAAACATGAGTGGTCTCTGGATGCTTGTCAGCATGATCCTTTACTAAGTGACAGAGAGAAAGACTGGATTCAGAAAGGCTCCACTCCACACAAAGCCCTCAGTGACATCATTCTCAGTGAACGCTGGCTGAAAGAAGTCCCAAAATATTTGAAATTCAGGTACTGTATTTAATTATAGCTATAAATAATAATATAATTGTTCTAAATGTTAAATTCTTGTTTTAGATCTACAGCAAATTTGGAGGCGTTTCACAACCATCTCCTAATGTATGCAAGCAAAAGATTCAGTTACATCCCACCTGTTTACGAGGCACGGATACTGCTTGCTGCACTGGACTGCAATCACCACTCACATCGAGAAGTGAAGAGGAGAGCAGAAGGATCGATACAGTATGTATTTATTTATTTATTTATATTTTAAATGAAACATACACTCATGAATTCATAATTCACTGGTCCAGTTTTAGTCATTTTTTATTAACAACTTCCTCAGATGAACAACCACAACGCTCCTAACTGCTACATATTGGTTTAACAACATGCTGTCAAGTGGCCAACTGTAGAATCACAGAAACACCACATTTTCAATAATAGTGCCTCCAGGTGGGGCTTACCTAAATTACTTTTAATTTAAAACACTTTTTCAGCTCATTTGTTGGATACTACAAGTTGGAGCCCTGCACGGGCCTAAAATCTGAGCCCGTGTCCGGCCCGGCCCGAGGGGGTGGAGCCTCAGCCCTACCCGGACCGAAAAGGTTTTCAGGATTCTCCGGCCCGACCCGAGCCCGACTTTTTTTTAACCAACTAAATGAAAACAAAGTGCGTCAATCCTGACCAATGTGTTAAAAGACGTGCAGGATCCGATCAATTTGTTTTTCCCTCATTTACCGTCACGGAGATAACGGCGCAGTGCGGCTCTGGTGGTAATCTAGTTAAATTTGATCTCTTTCCAACAATTTTCACAAGAAAACAGAACAGTTAAAAGCAGGGCTTGTGTTGACCGGATAGTTCCCGTATTTGACCGTTTATTTTGACGGAGAAAGAATAGAAAGAATTACCCCGACACATGCAGACGAACTGACATTTTATCCTACGCACATCGCAGATGTAGCTAAATCACCCAAGAAAAGATTTCCATCTGAACATCTGAGCTGGACACTGCTCAGCGCAGCTTGCTGTCAGCGCGTACGTATGGTGCACAGCAAGCTGAAGTTGTGGAGATTGGCTTGGAGAGCGTTGCAGAACCAGAGCGCATGCGGGAAGGTTCCTCCCACTGAAGCGAGTGTTTTCCAAACCCTGTCTCTCAGAGAGACTTGTCACTTAGGAAATGTTCCCTGATGATGAAACTTTGGCTGAATAGCGCTTGTTCCTGTCTCCAATGTGGCGACACATCCAGGAGCCGTCTGAGGAGAAGCCCAGAATCTCACATCCTCTTCAGCTCAGAATGCGACCGATATGATTACGCACAAGCGTGACCCGTCAACCCGGTCTCACAGTCAGACTGGATTGGAACTGTTCAGGTTTACGCAGACAATCTTTACATTTAGAATTGACTTACAGATGTAAAATTAATTCAGTAAAATATAAAGCATTTTATTTAAATATCCATTCATTATTTTACAAGCACAGAGAGCCGCCTACAAAGTTTAATTACAACAATCAAACGTGACAGAGCCTGGATTTGTATTCTGAACAGTCTAAACATGTTTTAAAAAGAAACGTATGACAAAAGTGGCACCTGCTCAGTAAAACCACCAACAGGGTGAAAAATATCTAAATATTGTAGGCATACAGGCTACAACTTCTGGATCCACTTTATATAAATCATTTTATTGATTATCGTCTTATGAAAGATAACTTTGACGTACACGAGCGACCGGTACTGGCTGCTGTCACCTGTTGTGAGCAGCTCTCTGCTGTCTGAGGGTAGGCCCCGCCCACAACGCCGCGGCTGCTGTGGATCCCAGTGTTTTCTTTACTGTGGGAAACGGGTAATAATGGCTCTTTGATGGGAACAGGTTGCCGACCCCTGGTTTAAGTGTTTCAATTTTTTTAATGAATTCGATTAAAAATAAAGGAGCCCGGCCCGAGGGCCGTCGGGCTGGGCCGACCCGAGGGCCTAGGGCTTCAGTGCAGGGCTCTACTACAAGTTATGGCATGTGTCATTTCAGATACCATAAAATATTCAACAAAAAATCAAGATGCTGGAGGCTGTATTCTGAGAAGGTGGCAAAAGAATACTCCTACATCCCAGAGATCCAAACCATGATCGTCAAACAACGTTTGACAAGCAAGAAAGGTCTTCCTCGACGCTACAAGCTAAGGCCTGAGGATCCAAGGCGTTACGGTTTGCTGTCCGGAGTCCCTGCACCATCAACAGAGGAACTTCTACAACACCTACGGACTTGCGGTGATGGTAAAATAAAACATTATCTGCCTTACATCTTCCACACAATAGTCCATTGCTAATTGAGTTTATTTTTTATTTACAGGTAAAACTTTGCCACAGACATAGGTGTTGGGGGAGGCAAGAGAAAACCCAAAACCTTCTTTATTTTTGTTTCCTGTGTTTTATTTATTTATTTATTTTTAAATAAAGATATATTTTGGGGAAATAAGGACTAATAATTTAAAAATGTATGTAAAATGCTGGAGGTAGACTTAAGTTTTTGTTGTTGTGCAGGAGTTTAAAATTTATGGTATTTTTACAAATGCAACAGAGAGTTATGCTTTAGAACACTTTATTAGAGCATCAAACAAAACTATATAAAAAACAAACTGATGTAAAATATCAAATATATACATTTATTTACAATCGTCTTGGAATAAAACCAGTGTAGTTACCATTGGGGTCAGGGAATTTTTCCCTTATCCTCCAGACAACACAGCTTGGGATTACTACCCTGCTCCCTCCACCAAGTTTTCCATGCTGCCATGCTACAAACTGTCTGTAAGCTGCATGGCGGAACTGTCTGTTGTCCTCACCAGGGTCCGGGTCATCATAAACCGCTCGAAACTCATTCCACAACGTTCTGGCCAGGCGAAGAACACCATTTTGCAGAATAAACTCCTCCATGTGTGTTACAGTTGAAATACATGTCTGGGGAGGCTGTTGGCAGCATTTCTTTTCCAAATCAGTTGGCATCTCTGCAGTGGGAGCATACACACCATGAAGGTTGATTGGATGTTGGAGGTGTTGTGGCAGGTGGACCAGAGAGGGCAAGTACATCAAAGAGAACACCAGTGTCTGTCCAGCACCATGGTAAGGATGTCAATAGCCTGCTGAGGGTTCAGGTTCTGTATGTGTAGCTACAAACGTGGAAAGAGATGCTACAGCAACAGTTTTTAGGATCATTTAGTGTAATTTTTTTATGCTTACACGTTCAAAGTCTATTCGCTCGGAACGAAGATTCTGAACTCGAGAGAGATCTTCATCTCCAAGGTCCACAGCTGAGTGTCTCGCACTTCTTCGGCCTCTGGATGCACCGCGGCCTCTAGACACACCGCGGCCTCTGGATGCACCACGGCTTTGAGATGATGGTGGGCATCTCCTTTTTGCACCACGTCTTGAGGATGCAATAGGAGGTTCAAACTCTTCCTCAGAGGATTCCTCAATCACTGAACTCTAAATTGTATTAGAATAAAAAAAATATATACTAATATAAAAAGTACTCTTGCATATTAATCAATTTTGACACATCAGGTTTACATCTAGTCAAAAATTTGGGCTAAAGCAACAATAACCAGAAACCCTATGAAAACAACCATGATTATAGGAGGACTACACAGAATGCAGTGTTTATTCATGATTTCAACATAATTTATATGCTTTGATATATTCATCCCATCTTGAATAGCAAAGCAATTAAAAATAAGCTAATTACTCTTAATAAATGCTAACAATTTGATAGGATTAATTTTATTTACAATATAGATTGCCAACTGTTACTGGTATTTTAAAATATAAATATATTTATAGATATTCTTTATAAAATGCCTTTTGTAAACAGTCAGTGTTTAATGTGCTGGTTAAATACAACTTTCTTACCTCAGATAACTCCATTGCTAACACTAGCTCAGCTCTATTACAAGAAGCAATGCTCCGATGTTGACTCTGCTTTTCCTGCGCGTGCACATTGGGAGGTGTGGCTTTCGGCTCTTTCAGGAAGGGCGGGGGAGTGAGCAACAGCCGTTTGAATTTAAAAATCTCCTCCTCCTCACCCTGACGGCCTCATCCTGCGGACTGTGCCTTTAAACAACCCAGATTCTGACCTACCACAGACGAAAGTTCTGATTGGTTGAGAACAATGTGTCATGCGTTTCCATGGTAATGTAAATCAGTCTGTCTGATGCAGTCCTGTTTATTCATTAAACACATAACTCATGACATCTTTATTTCACAGATCATTCACCTGATTATTATTGATCAACATATAGTTTGATTAGCTTATCACAAATAAAGTACTTTGATTAATTAATGGGAAGCGTTCTTCTTCTCTTCTGTCTCTTCTCCTGGAATGTAAACATACTGAAACAAACGTCCGACCTTGGCGATTCCTACACGTTGTTACTGTGTGAAGGGGCAGCTGTTAAGGGCAGACAATAGGATCTTAATAACGCTACAACACCAAGGTTCCTTACTTTGTTCTCGGAGATTAATGTAATGCCATTCAGGTCAGGCGATTGGCTAAGCCAGGGATTCCCAAAGTGTGGTGCGCGCACCCCCGGGGGTGCGCGAGGTGAAAAGTGTGATGGCTGCGGAGCTCAGAGAAGTCTGTCATATGTCACCATTAGCGTAGAAGCTCATTTGTGGGTGTGCCAAAGAAAAAGTAAGTGGGCACAATAAATGTAATTGAAAATAAGTATATTTTTGCACGCGCGCGCGTGTCCTCCACATGTGCCCTAGCTTCATAATAATGCGTCGAGCTTCAGCACTCTGGCCTGCGCACGCCAATATGTTCCGTATTTGATCATTTTTAACGGTGTTGGAGGAATCTGAAGGTGGCGAGTCATTCTGGCAGATTGCAATTAACACCCTGTCTCATGCAGGTGTTCTGACATTGTAAACCTCACACACAGAACATTGTGGATGTAACAAAATAACAAGAAATGATTCCCATTCAGGCTACTGACAGCGCGCTGAAGATCTGAAGTTCAGAGTGCGTCTGTCAGAGGTCAGACGTGTTCCAGCGGAACCACGGCTCACGGGTGCACAAGTGAGCACATCTGGGCTGGGCATAAGTAATTTTACAACATTGGTTTAAATAGCGCCAAAAACGAGACGCGGTGACTTGAGCGGCTGTGCTGCGTGCGCGCACGCGCGCACACACACACGGATTCAATAAGCGCACACGCTGCTTTAACTCCGGCGCGCCGTCAGACTGAAGGCAGAAATGAACGCTGCCTCCACCGTGATAAAAACTTTTAAGAGGTTTTATAACAACATTTTTCATTCAAGGTCAAATTAAGATATTAGCTTCTGGGATGAGTCGGGTCCGCTACAGCCAGTGACTCCTCATGAACCTGACCACAAGTCCTGTTACTGCGGCATTTGTTATTCCAGTCAGCGTGGCAGCGGATCGCAGATTCAGCCACACCATAAAACAGCAATAAGTCGGTCTGAGGTAAAAGTGAACATCATGGCTATATCTTGTCCCCTATAGACATTTGATTACGCACAAGTAGGTGATCAGCTCAGGTTTACGCAGAACAAAAGGAAGGAGAGCGCTCTGGCCGCACAGGTTAAACGTTTCTACTTTAAGAAAACCGTTAAATTGCATTGTTTATGTGCTACCTGGGCACTCAAAATATTTATTTAAAATTAAATCAAAGGAAATTGTAATGGTATCGAATGTTTATTAATTACTATTTAAAAAATGAAAGTGATGGGGAATTTTTTTAACCCTGTCTGTTTAGCTTGACATCTGATATATATATATATATATATATATATATATATATAGCCATGCCCTGATGTGGGGGCTGGGGGGGGGGGGGGGGGGGAGTGGGTGCGTCGACATGGTCGGGACATAGAAGGGGGTGCGCGGCTAAATAAGTTTGGGAACCACTGGGCTAAGCAATTTCCTTTCCTGGATTTCAGGTCCAAAGATGAGAACTTCCGTCTTGTCTTGATTTAAAAGCAAGAAGTTTAGAGTTATCCAACTTTTTATGTCCTCAAGACAAGCCTGTAATATACCCAACCGATTAGGTTCATCAGGCTTAATGGATAAATATAACTGAGTATCGTCAGCATAACAGTGGAAGTTTATCCCATGCTGTCTAATGATTTTACCAATTGGGAGCATTTATATAGTAAAAAGAATTGGTCCAAGCACTGAACCCTGTGGTACTCCGCAAGTAACCCTGGAGTATGAAGACGATTTGTCATCTACGTTTACAAAATGAAATCTGTCAGACAGATGATACGGTGGCTGGTAAGGGTCACCGCACCTACACCGCAGCCACAGTAAATCCACCGAGATAATATATTTGTTAAAAAACAAGACAGTTATTATTATTGTCAACTTTTTTTTTTTTTTTACTGGGGCTTACCGCTACACCGGTTACTGTGACAACCCTAAAAGCCTTCTAGTGATCTTGTCGCGAGCGTGTCTTTTTCTGTCTGTTCCGTTAGAACCTGGTTCCGTTAGAACCTTGAACTGCGCTGCTTTCTCAGGGTTTGTGGGGCGTCGGTGAGTTTTATTGTATTAGACCCTGGTTTGGACCCCCTAATTAGAATCAGTTTCCTATTTTAAGGTGAAAATGATATGCCGTACTCGTTCTTTTGTGATAGCACACTTCCCTTTTGATTTCTCCTGTTATTTAAAGAGCAAGTAACGTCTAAATTAATTTTTTTTTTTTTGCTGATGAACTGTATAAATGAGTGTCTAATAGTGTTTTAAATGTGTGTATTCATTATTTTATCATTTTGGTGCATTTTCTTTAAAAATTAAAAATTCTGCCTAAATACCACAGTATTGCGCCACCTTCAGCTTAAAACATAGAATTTGAGTCTTTTTGAATAAATTTTAGCCAATTGCTAAAGAGTAAGATACTACGTAAACCAGTAGAGTACTACGTAGCAGCTCTGTGTCAAAGTTATAAAGCATCGAGCGTCTCGGCCACGCCTTGTGGCGAGTTGGGAGTTGGATTTGCAAGCGAGTGTAGGAGGCTAGCCGTAGTTCAGCATTAGTATATAGCATTAGCATATCCTAGTCTTTAGCATAGCTTTTAGTGTTATACATACTTATTTAGTGTTAATGTGCCTGGTACTGTAGTTTGCAACCAGCATTTTACCGCAATTCTGCACGTCTCCGTTAAAGAGGGAGGCCGTGCCCACCGTGGCTCTTCCGCGATTTAGATGCAGCCCACCGACTCTGCTCCCCCACCACGGCGGGCTCCAGTCTGAGGTGAGTAAGCTAAATAAAGGTTTTACATCTTCTAAAGACAATTCCCTACCTAAATGCAAAGTTTGAGAGACGTGGTTCACTCCATTTAGCTAATATCAGTCTGCACTGCCTTCGGGCAGATTTGTCAAGTTCACAAAATGTGGAACGGGATGTAAGGTTAGAATCAGCGGCGAATCGGAACATATCTCGAAGCCCTGGCCGACAAAACGGTACACATGACTGTCAGGCTCAGATAAAATTCGGGTTGCTTTTGTGTCAGTTGGTAATTCTGCAACAGTGGCTCTAACTAACGCAGCACTAGTTGACAGACATCATTACAGCGTGAAATCCAGCTTTACACCACAGCGTGACCCGGTTCTGTGAGGAATTCTGTTCAGGAGGTCGCATTTCAGGCTGTCCACATCATATGTGACTGACTTTTACGTTATAACAACGATCACACACTAGGAATGTTATAAAGCGCCTATATAGGAGATTCTTTTGTATATTATCTGACTTTATAAACTCCAACAACAATGTGCTTCTATTTTTTTTTTCAGGCTAAATCTACCCAAGACATTGGCTGTCAGACTGATTTAGCTGCAAGAATGTACTTGTCCAGGCTGACGTGAAGCCTTACCCGTAGCAAAGGTGAATTATTTTTAATAATCGTCTATGTAAACATTTTATTATTACCTTCTAGTTTTAATTTGTTTTACAGATTATTGTTACACATGATTTTATGCTCTTTTAAACATTTATAAATGTGCTGCTTCTTTGTTTTTGTACATAGCCAGCCAGAAGAGCTCACAGCCGCAGTGTGTCTTGTGTCACAGGGACCGTGATGGAAATTCATCTTCCAGAAAGTCCCAGAGCAGCGTCCACACCCCTGAAAAGACCAAGATGTGAGGTGTCTGCTGTTGATTCCAGCTTCCACCTGAGTGACAGTGCAAGCTCAGTGAACTGTTCAAGGTAAAAAAAATTAAAACATTTCAGAATTTTTAAGATATTAACAATTAAATAAGTATGTGATTACATCATGACATCATGAAGGAGGCTACTGATTCTGGCCCTGTGACACTTGGTGGTGACGTGTGAGCTGATTCACCTGGTAAATAACTTTTACATGAAATATTTTGTTCTTTGTAATCA